TATTTGTAAATCTATAACTTTTTAACGAGGGTTGTGTTATTTACCTTTTGTTTTTAAGCTGTTCATTCTTCCTTTTTATGAGATATATCGGTAAAAATCAAATGTATTCCCCCTTTGAACTTGTAATTACATGTAGCACATGAATGCTCTGAAAACCAGCACATGAATATTCCGAAACCGCCTCGTAGTAATAAAATGTCACCAAAACGTAGAATTATTACTCCTGTGGACTTGAAATGAACATCCGTTTGATTTTGACTATATTCCGTAACCGCCTCGTCGTCAGAAATAATAAGAAAAAACTAGAATTATTACTCCCGTGAACTTGTAATAAACATCCGTCGATTTTGAATATATTCCGAAACTGCCTCGTTGTCAGAAATATCACCAAAAAGTAAATTTCTTTCTCCTTTTCACTTCTGAAAAATTAGTTTGACTATATTTCGGTCCAACGCTCCTTTTTTGTCAGAAATGTCACTAAAAAGTAGAGGTTTTGCCTTGGGACCTTGTTTCCGCAGCAGTCCCAGCTAGGTGTGGCTCAGCTGAGACGTGCATGGTCAGTGTCGACGGTTGATTAAATACTTCTCAAGACAGTTGAATGTCGACGACAAGTATTTAGCAAAAATTGACCAAATTGGTCAGATATTACGTAAGAATTTGGCGGGAGGTGACCAGCGCACGTGGACGAGTTTATTCTGTATAACATCTCTAGAGCGTGATATAGGGTCACTTTATTCGGTTTTAGGGGTGTTTTAGGATGAAATGACTGTATTTTTTCTCGGTATGTATGTCAAATAATACACTGTCACCCTCTCGCGATATATGCCATGAACACCTCTCGCTGACGCTCGAGGTGTTATGGCATATATCGCTCGGGTGACAGTGTATTATCTCACACTTACATGCCTATACGACTGCTTTCAATGAGTTACTGGTAACTGACCAAAACGGTTAATCTGTACTGATTTGAGTGGTTCAAACAATCTACTGGATTCAGTTAAATGTATAATCTACCTATTCATGTTGAGTGATGGAAATGTGTGGTTTTAATCAACTGGTATTATCAGACAACGTTTACTACTTTGACAGTAAATAACAACTGTTCAAGTGACTACGTAGTGTTTATCTGGCAGGGCAGTGATGCAACTGTGTGATTACTTTCATATTCATAATTATTTCAATGTGCTACTGCAAATAAAATTAATGGCCAAAGAGATAATTAAATAATAATAATAATAATAATCTTTATTGAAATATTGCAACCCGAAGGTTGACGTTGTTATATATATATATATGGATATTCGAAGAACATTTTAAAAATTCCGAGTGCATTCCAAATATTTTTACCCATTCTTGTAGCTGGCCCGAATGTTTTGCTCATGTTAAAAACTTTCGAAATTCATTCCAAGTGGAAAATTATCGAATTTCATCTGAATAGTATTCTAACTGCACTATGACTGCATTCTAAATATTCTCACGGCATTCCAACAGCATTCGAAACATTCCATGCAAAATAATGTCCGAGCTAACAAAACATTGTGGTAACCTTATAATAATTGTAAAGATTCGAAGACTGTTTCTACATAACTTTATGATAATGTCATGCGCATCTTGTGGAGTTTTATGAGCGTTTTATAACATACTGTTAAAACATTATATGCTGTTTTGAAGACCTTTTTTTATAAATGACCAAAACTCTTCTTGAACTACCGGTACATCTAGCGGTTAGTTCCAAATTTCAAATTCCACATTGGGTTAGTCTGCGATTAGGGCGGTGCGAATTGTAGAATCTTCGGACTATCGTTACCGAAATAACCAGCATGTGATAAAAGCTTAAATAAACTATTGTACTGAATACCCTTCCATCATCCTGATGTTCTATTGGGTGTTTCAGAAATGGCGGCAACTAGGGGCAGCAGGCCCAGTAGTTCACGTGATTCCCATAGCCTCAGTGATTTTCTCTGTTTTTAAAAATAAAGAAAAGCGGAAAAATCGCATCACAGAGTTTCTTTATTTGAGTAGCAAGCTGCTCTTATTTACTGTTAGATATTCTACAACAGGCAAGAGCTAGCTTTCTTAATCATCGACCCTCAACCACCCACCTCATATAGCAACATTCTAAATCCAATCGTTAGCAATGTCTAAGAGCCTAGTTTTCAACTAAACTTATTAAAAATACTATTTGCATTACTCATACTTGAGCAATATCCAAAACTCAGTTATCATGTGATAAACAGTTGGTCGAAATTAAAATCTGTTTTGAAATTAACCAATCACATAGACGGTAACTGGCTTTGACCTTTTCCATCTTTTTCTGACACTAAAAACATGTTCTACAATTGTTGACTCTTGATGAAACTTAATTTACACTCAATGCCTTAGATGATTTCCCTTTTATTACTAATTGTAATTAGTGTAAGCGGAAGTTATTAAAGGGATAATAACTCTTCGTTTTGGTCAAAAAATGGATTTTCCTGGAGTAAACAACAATTTTCCCCATACTTACTAATGACTAATGAATCCATTTTTACATTCAAAGTTAGTCCCTGTTTTTCTTTTTTTTTAAGTTTTTTTCTAAAAAGAGATTTTAACAGAGTATAGCCATCAGTGGAGGTCACGTGGTCTAAAAACAAACTCAGATATCAGAATAATAGCTATAACTGCCTTTTTTGTGGTAAAACAGAATATATTATATTTCTATGAGTTATTCACAATGTTTTTATTGTGAAATATAGATCTCACACGAAGAGTTTTTATCCCTTTAACTTTACAGCACATATACACCCAACTTCGACTTTTAATATTGTAATTCTGTCAATAGTTCTGAATATAATATTCCACAATAAATCTGTACCAGAGTTAAAACTGTTTGAGTTTGCTGTCACAGTAGGGTGTAAAGCGGGCACACTGTGGCTTTAATTCCAAGCAAAGATAAAGAACAAAAACGCGTAGAGGACGTCAAACCAAGCACTCCTGGGACCGGATCCTCTGTTGTTGGCGCTGCTTTGGGACGTATCCAGTGTGCCATTGTTACAGTAGTTAGTAGTGCGGCACTGCCTACATACTTTACTGGTCCCAGTTCCCGTGCATGTATTCCCCTGGAGTTCCTGACTGGTACAAGATGACAGACGCCTGCACCCGCGGCTGTAGCTGTAGGCAATGGTGGAAGAACTGTAGAACAGACTGTAACTTTCGTAGGCCGAGGCCGAGGTCTGCAAATAAATACGTTTGTCCATATCACAATGACATTTATCCAACATACAAAAATAACCCCATATACTTTTTTCTGTCTAAGGCGACAGTGTGCACTCACAACAGATTAAAAACAAGCTGTGCGGTTTCACTTCTTTTGCCAAGTCTCAATACTTTTGTAGCATTTCGAATGAAAAACCCTGGGTTATTGACTAATATAAAGGTCTTTATGAGCAAAATTTATGAGCAAGGAAAAATATTGCTACTCATTTGCAGACATATTGGAGTAATTTTGATGCAAATGTGCAAGGTGGGAGTACAGTTTTCAGCAAACTTGACGCGACTTTGCAGTAGGCCTCATATTTGTAAAAATGTGACCCCATCTTCCTGTTTGTGTCTCCCTCTGTAATGTTGTCTGAGCACAGATACGAAACAAGATATGTAGTTTCAGTTCTTTTGACAAATTTCAGTAGTATAGTGTTGCATTACGCATGAAAATTCATGGGTTGTTAACTTATATAAATGCCTTTGCGAACAAACATTTTTGTGCCTGGCTGTTCTCATATTACATGCGAAGACGTCTTTTGTACTCTGTCACTCAATTTCACCGAACTGTTTATGATCTTGTACCAGAAAATCGTTTTGTGTGCGCCTTTGTTTAGAGCTACATTTGCTTGGCAATATAAAAGGTTACAGCAAAATTGCAGCAGAATTGCGGTAGTATATCGCTTCAAACTTCACGTTTGCAGCAACGAGTTTGCAAGAGTTTGCAAGCAAACAACTGCTGCGAAATTCGCTACGTATACGCAGCAGGTGTGATATTTTGCTAAGGGTAACCCCATATACCTTTTTCTGTATTCCCCTGTTTAATGTTGACTCACCACAAATAAGAAACAAGTTATGTGGTTTCAGTTCTTTTTACAAGTTTCAAGCCTTTTGTTGCGTTACGCATGGAAAAATTAACTTACGTAAAAGGCCTTTGTGAGCAAACATTTTTGTACCCGGGTTTTGTCATATTATTTGCGAAGGCGTCTTTTGCACTGTAACTAGAATTCAACTAATATTTTATAACCCTGTTCCATAAAATTGTTTTGTGTGCTTTTGTGTTTAGACCTACTTAAAACCTCATATGTTTTTTTCTTTCTCCCTGCAGTGTGGACTCACCACGGATAAAGAAACAAGATATGTAGTTTCACTTCTTTTGACAATCTTCAATACTTTTGTTGCATTAAGTATGAAAAATCTTGGCTTATTGAAAAGCCCTGGATAACATAAAAAAACTGTTATGTGAAAATGTGTGCGTGTTGCCATATCATTTGCAAATACATTTTCTGAGCAGTGCAGCTCAATTTCACCTAAATGTCTCCGAATTTGTGCTATGAAATAATTCTGTGCGTGCGTTTATGTGGACACCTGCATAAAGGCATATACTTTTATTTCCCCCTAATAATTTGGACTTATAGCCTTCATAGCCAAAGTAGCAGGCTGTAGCAGGCTGACTAGTTTAAATGATTTTTACAGTTCTAAGGGTTTTAGATGCATGAATATAAATATTCATATTTTAGAACATGAATTATACCAAAAAAATTTATAATATGGAAGCATGAAGGTGCTGCACTCTTCAGCGTCACAAACCCTTCAACAACAAAGCTTACTTTTGAAATATAATGCCATTTTTGAAAACGGTATTTGTTCCCAGACAAAGGACAGTATCAGGATACATGTACGCCACGGCCTGGGCACGAAAGGAACGTTCGTCTCACACCCACACAACAAAGCAGATTTTCCCAATCGTTTGAGCAAGACGATCAAGAGGCTGATCAACTGAATCGTGACTTGAGCATAATGGGCGATAAATAACCCGGTGAAACGTGACAGATAGTCCCCCATGACAGAGAGTCCGCCTCCCATTCATTGTGCAGTTGAGGCTCGTTCTAGATTTTGACCCACTTAGGACAGGCTAACCCTAACCATAATAACTATATGGAGGGCAGACTTCCTGTTACACGGGAACGAGTTTTTAAGTGCACACTATATTACCAAAAAATACCAATCAAAGGGACGGATGTGCTTTTGGATCTCCATGAGTGGGTGACCAGCACTAGTTGAGGCTGGGTCGCATCTTGTGTGTAACAGCAATGGCGGAACCGGGGGGGGGGGATGGGGGGGGGGGTTGCAGGTTCAGTAGGTCACGTGATTTCCTCAATGGTTTTCTCTTTTTAAAATAAGAAATTATATTATAATTCTACATCCGTGGTTAAAAGCCAATTTATTTTAGAAAAAGTACCCCCTTTTAAAATTTCTGGTTCCGGAGCTGTATTAAAAAGTTATTTGGGGGTAGGAAGCTTGTCCTACTTAAACTTAGCCAATTAGTTGCATAATATCTTAAGAAAAATCCCCTCCTGTTAATGTCCTTTACGTGCGCACCCTGAGCAAATCCTTATCATCTTTTAGAGGCTCCTTACACTGTCAGTTCATTTGGGTATGTTGCTAGGAAATGAATGAAAATATGTATTGGTCGTGGTAATAAAATGGGACACAACTGGTTATTTGAAATAGTGAAATATATAACTTTTATTCAAGCGGTTTTATACAAGGTTATGACATGAAACAGGCTTAAAGACACACGATGTGCGTATTACTCAAAACAGAAGTCGATATTACTTGCAAAAACAATAGAGTTATATAAAGACATATTTTCCTTTGTCTGCCTTCCTATAGATTTGGCAAAAAATTCACTATTACATATTCCCAATAGATATAAGCAATACAAATTATCGATACGGTTACAAAGTCTCATTTCCAAATACCCTGCTATTCTAGATTAGACGCACATTATTTTGTTAATTATAGAAAATTAGATGCCAACCAAGCATTTTAAACTATAATTTAACTTCTTTNCGGGAAGCGTCCAAGGCGTATGGTGTTTCACTGAGATTGAAAACCCTTAAAGGTAACCCGTGCTATTGGGTCGAGAAATAGACAAAAATGATCTTTTCAGTTGTTCTTTGCCATTATCGTTTCACCTTACTGGCCATTCGGACCTAAACTTTCTTAAAATCCTTTGGTCTAAATCGGGATTCACTGGTCCGAATACATATTTCACTAAATTTGGATTGGATTGCATTTGAATATAAGTTTAAAATATAAAATTTCAAGAGTGGCATTTTTAGAATCACGATATAACAGTTAAAAACTAAAAAAAAAGCCGTTTTGAAAACTTGGAAAAAAATCATATGGTCTTCACACTAATTTCATACATTTTGAAAAATTTACTTGTCCAAACAATAATTAGTATGTCGCAGTCATTGATTACACAGATAATAATAGAAATATTGATACAACAAAGTGTTGGTTATTCAATAAAGTCTTAATAATAATTGGAATGTGTTGCCGTGATAGAGAAAAGAAAAGGAGATGAGACCCTGGAAAATCGCAACGTGAAAACAAAGTGGCTGGACGGCAAGAAATACAGCGACCTGATAGTGCTGGGGTTTCCTTGGAAGAACACAGACGATGACGTGAAGTCTTACTCCTCACAGTTTGGTGAAGTCAGCATGGCATAGGTACTCATTTCTACTCATTAAGATCACTGATATGGGTTTTTTAAAAATTAGTCTTTAATTTTAGACGAAGAGCATTAAAATGGAGCAATCCAGTTATTACTGGTATAAAATAATAGCAATTTCGTTCTTCTCTTAAAACTAATTACTATTTTATGTGTACGGCTAACGCCGGAGACTGCTTTCTTCAATACACAATTAATGGAAATAATAAACAAACTAGACAACAGTTCACTTTTGTTCGAACCTCAAAATGGTGAAGTCAGGTCAGAATGATAGAAAACAAGCATCTCATCATAATTCCTAAAACTATTTTATGCTAAAAGATCATTTATATTTCAACTGAGGTGAGTAAAGTTGATATCATCGAGGCTATAAGCACTTTTATGGGGCAGCCCACTGTCACTCGAAATGAATTCCCAAGAATCGTGACAACTAATCTCATTTTCATATCAAAGTTCTGGTCGAAAAGCCGTTAGCCATCCACTGTCACCGCAAAAAATTATTTCCCTCCGCCATTAACCACGCTTTTGGGAGAAACTACTTTTCAAAGACAGTACATAGGGGATGGAAATAGAGGGGAAAACTAACGCTATTTTTCCTTTTAATTTACAGAATTCGATTATGCCATGTCCTGATAGGGCTCCCACTTTTCGTAAGAAGATTCCAGTCTGTTTATGAGGTGGCTGCATGCGGGAACACCAGAAGCATGTGGTGTTTCGCTGAAATGGAAACCTTCAAAGCCGTTACAGGCAACTCGTGATTTTGTAGAGAATAATACACTAAAGTAATTTTTCTTACCTAATGAATATTTTGAGATAAAGCACTTTACAGCTCAATTTCACAAGTCAGTGTCTCACTTGCCTCACTTCAGATATAAAAAAATGAAGGTACGTGGGTTTGGGGAGGGGGGGGGGGGAGGCGTAAAGGAGAAAACTAATGTCTTCTTAATATTAATTTGAAGTTGAGGCAGATAGCATTGGCGAACGCCTGGCCTGAAGATGGTCCACTTTAACAGGGTTAAAATGGAGAAAACTATATAGGCATATAGTATTTCAAGGGCCCTTGTGTGACATCACTGGGATTTGAGACCCTTCTAAGTAAGTTATGGGCCAGGGTAGGGGGTAAACATTGAACTAAACTGTTATTCATTTTATAGATATTGCAAATCTTTTGTCAATGCAAGTTCAACAAATTGGGCATTGTGCACAAGGTCTCAGACACACTTTTAAATTAAAGAATTTGGGAACTATTGTCGTGTCATTAAATGTAGACATTTGTTTTCTAATTACAATTTACTTGAGAAATTCATAATGCAGACATTTTAGAGGTCAAAAGCTCTTTCAATTTGTCGCGAACTTACAAAAAAAACCCCATCACACATGCACATTTTTATGTACAGACACAGATNTTTTAATTTTTCACATATTGGCATTTTCAAGGTGTGACTTTGAAGTTCCACAGGCTTGAAGACCCATGCTTGTCACATTTTCTGAAAATCCATGATACGTGTATTTTATTATTAAAAATTGATTGTCATTATGCTGGTAACCATTATGTAATATTACATCAGAATAGAAGAAAACACAATTTTGGTTGCTGCTGCCATGATGACCATTATGGGAAAACCATGTTACTTATGATTGCCAAACTTTCAAAAAAGAAATACAGGACTAAATTGCAGCCTGAGTTGGAAAAGCAGTCTAATTGGCTTCTTTCTGTAGAAGTTATACATTTTCAAAGTGTGAACTTGTTACACATTTTACTTACATTGGTATTACCTGTTGAGCATAATTAGAATTTGATGTTGAATTTGCAGTTTAACATAATGTACTTTTGCATCAGAATTGACAGTAGCCTATTTTGTTATTTCCTGCTTTTTGTCTGTACATTTGACAGCTTTGCTGCCTTGTTTGACATGCTATCGGCCAACTTTCAGATTTTCAACAATCTCAAAGTGTCACGGGTGGCGTTGTCACTGGTCTAAAATACTAAGAGCTAACCCCCCCTCTACCCCCAGCACTGCGGTTGTGGTACTAAGAGGCCATCGTACAGGTGAGCATATATGTTTATCTGTTTATATTGTTCAGATCATTAAGCGTTTTCATGTTCCACATGCCTTCCTTTATCTCTTTTATTCTGCAGTCACTTTCTTTTTGTAGTATCGTAGCACTCTCCCAATCCATAGTGTGGTTTTTCTGGTGTTTTGTCATAGTAGACCAGCTTTTTTGCCTGAAATTTCTTTTTGACTCAGTATTTTTCTCTTCATTTACCCTTTCCTATTTCTCCTGTGTTTTTGACTCTATGCTCAACTTTCTTTTTCTCTTCATTGCTTTTCATACTTTTGTATGAAAATGTTACATTTCATTTGCAGGCTACAACAGGGAAGTTTTTTGAGAGATAATGCCCGAACGCAGATACCATCAATCCTAGGCCAAATGTCAAGATGTGAAACACTTAATGGCACTAGCAACGAGCTTCTGTGGCGACTTTCATTGATAATCGGACGTCCTAGCAGCCTTAAGGGCACATATTGTTCTGCAAACAAAGTTAGAGAATGTGGAATGATAATGAAGAACGATATATACTGAATGTAATAACAAAACTGGTGCTATCTAATAATGTACTCAAGTCTTTTGGATATTGAGAATTTTTGCGGTTCATGGGTCACGGATGAGTCGAATGTGATTGCATTTAGTAAGTTTTATTTTTCACTTATGATGGTGAACCATTTTATTCCGGTAGCTTAAGAGAGCACTTAAGTTCAGGATGCTCATTCTTAATTCTATAAGTGTTCAATTGTAGTTCTGTATGAAAAAGATTAAGTCTGCCTCTACAGTTATTATAATTTTTATTTTAAGATTTTAAATTGAATATCCAGTTGCTTTATCCACATTCTAAATGCAGACTGGTTTTTGAACACAAAAAATATTGGTATTACCACGACTTATGGTCGTTTGTGTTTTGTTTCAATCATAGTGAGGTAATTATTTTTCAAATTTGTGCTTTTGATGATGTGGAGTTGTTCGTCAGTATAGCGTTTGAGAAGATCATAACCCGCACACTAACCTCAACTAACCCTAACATCTTTGTAAAATCTGACTTGATGTAAATTCTTTTACATGAAGAGGTTTTACATTGATAGATTGTGCAAAATCTATAATGAAATATTTTACGTTTGAGAAAATATTTCATTACATTTTTTGTACAGTCTGCTCCTCATGAAGGATAACTGGATGCATTCAGGCATCTCTCAAGATAGAGGATTGCACATTACTAATATTCCGATTTTCTCAAGTGTTATAGTTGACAGATATGTCCACTTCATCACATGCACCTTCTTTCCGGCTCAAAAAATTCATATTGAAACTTACATGGATGGTCATAGTGTTGTGTGAGACATGAAATATGTCGAAGCAAGCTTGCTTTATTCTTTACAAGTATCATACTGGTACATGTAGTTGCGATTTCAGGGCAAATTTTCAAACAGTTATGTCAAAAGTTAGTTTGAATCGTTGAGATGCCTGGGTAATAATCACATTACCTGAACTTTTTATGTATTTTATCAGTAGAACTATGTTCAAGTTTTGAAGGATGCTTCCAGTTGTAAAAGGATTGACAAACTTTGTTCATGTCTTCATTCAAGTTGAAATTGGTATCGGTTAAATTGTCTTGATTAAGTATTGATCAAATGTGTCTTAATTGGCTGAAGTACTTATTTCTCTGGGAATTTTGATAAATTCCTATCGTGCTTTCTTTTATATAGTACATACAGAGAATAGTTTGTAGTCACGAAAGAAAGTTTATTCAGTCACGCCATGCTAAAACTGAATGATATTCTTAAACTATAAAGCCCCGTGCCAGTGAAAAAATTGATGTTATCATGATATATAAAAAGACTGACGTATCCGGGCGTGGGCACTTTCCCGGCATTCCCCACGAAGGGTTTAGACGGGTTTTTCCCCACGGCCCGCAAGCATCGGGTACCAGCTTCCGGCCACAAGACCAGCATTATCGGAATGCATGCTTTCCGGTGTTAGATGATGAAGACAGGAATAGAAAATCTTTAACTTTCATTGAAACTATCATTTATTAACTCATTGCGTTTAAGTTAATTAAGTAATGATTACTAATTGTGATTGAAATTGAATGTAACTGTTCAGAATTGTGCATAATAGATGAATAAAAGTATTAAGATTATGTTATTTTTCTTTTTGGTAAAAAAAGACCTGTACAGATGGCAAAATAATCACCAAATTTTAGTGGAATGGCATGTGGCTCGTTTAATTATCAGTCGAAATTTTATCTTCTGTTAATTTGTTCCTTGTCTTACTAAATCAATGATTTTGCGATTTCTGTCACGCCGATTTCTTCCATAAAACTAGACAATGTCCAGGTAAATGAGTCAATTATTGGTTTGGGCAAAAAGTATCTATTCAATTCACCTAGGACGTGAGGCTGCTATCGAGGTATAATCTCGTGCGAGATACCAGACGTCCCAACAGCTGATACAAAAACTAGCCCTTGAAGCTGTCGTAAATCACTTGAATCATTATATGATTGGTGGTTTCACTGAACATTATTGATCGAAATCTTTCGAGTGAGGAAAACAGAGACGCGTGCTGATTATTTATTAGACCGTACGTGTATTCATCATGATCTATATATATTTATAAATGATACTAGCCTAGATTGTGCTTGGATTGATCATCGTAGGGGAGTCCGGGCACGTTCGACCCCTTTTGCTTTGATCGGATCTAGTTCAGCTGCTTGACGACGAATCTCAATAATGTGTTTTGAGTAGATACACTGCTGATTTTCCCTTTTTAATACATTGTTTAAATACATTGTAAAGAAGACCTTGCGTTTCAAAGGAAATTTAACATGAAATAAATTTCCAACACGTGGCCGAACGTGATCTACGTATCGGACGCGGCACTGCTCTTGCCTAGTACGCGATGTGATAGTAATGATTCTCAGTGGAGTTGGAAAGTAGTGTATCTCATCTCAAAATTTGTTCCGGGGTACTGTGAAATGTGAAATGATACTGTGATACTGTGGAATGCGCACTGACATACAGCTTGAAAAAGGGTAGTGTGGTCCGATCTACCGGTGAATTCAGGATCATGATGAGACTGTCGCTATTAGGATAGTGGGGTGGGGAGTTATTCACCCGTCTTTTCTCTTGTTATGTATTTAACGTTGAAAAGGGGGAAGAGGCAGAGACGGTGGCCGTGCAATATCGCACAGAATCTAAGGGATTCACGGTCTCCGTAGCCTCTAGGATTTTGCCAAGAAAAAAAAAAACTTCTGACAGGTTTTTGAAATAGTAAGCCCGTGGGCCGTAGGTAACATAATCGTAGATGGCATTGCATTTTTTTTTTGTTCCTGTTGGGGCTCAGTGGACATCGGTGGGCCTGTACATCTTGTACTCAAATGATAAAGGACACATATTTCTTCCAAATCCGGTACTATCGCCGTTTAAATATTTTAGCAATATAACTGGAATGTGAAGTTCAATTGAAGATACACCACATTTTATTTACTGTCAGGTAGGCCCTACTATATCTTACTCAAACATGATTCCGATAAGCAGTTCTTTATTGAAAATTGCAATATCATGATCCAAACAATATTATGGCCTTCTGTCTATTTGGAAAGTCAATCACGCCTTATTAAAATCATATCAAGAAGTACTATGCTCAGCTCCAATAAACCATTTTTAAAATGTGTTCGCTCTAAACTC